TCGGATTCGACTGGCTTTCGAGCAAGGGAACCTTTACCTTTACCTTATGAATGTTTTGGGTTTATTAATTAAAATATCCTCCTATCAATAGTGGCTCAAGGGGGCTTACAAACACCAGTATTCCCTGCCTCTACATCAGCTGGGGGGGGGGAGCATAAACAGCAACCAAATAAAACGATTATACACCGCTCCTGCCTCAACAACAATGGTGACATTTTCAGATCATCCATTATCAAAATCCCTTTCAAACAGCTTTTTCCAACCTCCAGAAATTGGTTGGTTGGTGTGGGAACTCTCCTGACTTCTTCAAGGAGGGCACGATGCGTGGCTGGAACCACAGCCAAGACAGAGGTGACAGTCAGGTGGGAGATCTGTGAGGGTCTAAGTTGGGGCACAGGTTCATACCAGGAGAGATGGCCCTTCAGATATGTGGTTTTAAGACTGTGCAAGGTTTGAAAGGCAATGACTACTATCGCCTTGAGCAGGACATGGAAGCATACAGGGACCAATGAGGGTGTCTTAAAATTAGACTGACAACACTTCTGGGCTTTAGTCACTGTGTTCCCTACCAATGGCAAGCTTCTGGATTGTCTTCAAGGGTATCCTCATGTAGAGGGCACTGCAGTAGTCTAGCCTCACAGTTCCAGAAGCACGAGCCAGTGAGGCCAAGACAGCAAAGGCTAAGAGATGAGCAAGTGATTGATCTACTGCAATGTGGGGTTGCCCTTAAAGACAACTCATAGAACCGGCGGGTGTACACTGATTGGCACGAGCCATTAGGAGGATGTTACATTTGTTCTGAAACAACTTCCTAAATTGCTTTCTCTTTCTGAGCTCCATTTAAGATGCTGTTTCTGACCTTTAAAGTCTTGCATGACCAGGAATCTGAAGGGCCATCTCTCTGTATATATCAACTCATATTCCAGTTGTGTTTCTTTCCTTAGTTTTAGCTTGCAGTCTTGTCTCCCTGGAACATTTGATCTGCCTTACTCAGAACATGAGCTTTCTCAGTCATGTCTATGGCCTTATGGAATGTCCTCTCCAAGGATATTAGATGGGTGCTTCCCCTTCATTAGGAGAAGAAGCCAAGTAGAGCTGTTTGGGGGGTATGGGGTATGTAGATAAGGTAGGGATGCCAGCCTCCAGGTGGGGCCTGGGGATCCCCCGGAACTACAGCTCATCTCCAGACTACAGAGATTAGCTCCTGTGGAGAAAACTGATGCTTTGGAGGGTGGACTCTATGGCATTGCACCCCACTGAGGTCCCTGTCCTCCCCAGGCTCCACCCCCAAATCTCCAGGTGTTTCCCAACCATGGGGCTGGCAAACCTGCCCCTCCATCTCCCACTGGTGGCCAGGGGGGACCTGGAAACACTGAGATAAGGCAGATTTTCTGACTCTTCAATGTCATATTATTCATTGCTGTTTTAATCGTGGGCTGTGTAGTTATGTTGTTGTTGCTTATCGAAATAGTCTCTGAGCTGCCTCAAACCCGTTCAGGGGAAAGGCAGGGCATAGATCTCTTAGGTAATAAAATAATAATGAAACAAAAAGCACAGTTTAAAACCCAAATTATCACAATGAACTATCAATAATAAAAACACAGCCCCAGAAACTTTAATAAAACCCAGTTCTGCTTGTTGTCAGCCAGTGCAGAAAGCCTTCCTAAAAAGCCAGGTTTTGACCAACTGGCAGAACGCCCACAAAGACATAGCCAAAAAAAAAATGGTTCCAATTAGTATGATTAGGCCTGATGATGGAGTACTTACAGACATGCTTCTTTCCAATTAGGGCAATTTGAATGGCTTATTTATTAATGGCTGGTCTTTTTGGCGCATATATCACAGGACAGGTCCAAAAGTAGAAGAAAATGCCTCTCTAATAGGGACACACACAGCCGTCCGTATGCCTTGGTGTTGTTTTGCTCCCCTGGGCCACTGAAGAGCAGGCAGTGTTGCCGTGTTCAAGAGAAGCAGGCAGAAGCATAATGAGCTACCGCCATCTCTTGTCCAGGATGACGACAAACTAACAGGTGCTGCCTGTGCCTTCTCTGCCACTCATGCCGCAGGGTCATCACCCGCAACACAGCCCACGTACAACTTACTGTCTGAATAGATAAAGCTGGATAGTTGCATGTTTAGAACATTTATCTCCTGCATCTCCGAAACCTTGCCCGAGGCATGGTGTTCCAACTATTTTTGTTGTGATCTATTGTGAACATGTTCAAGAATTCCTGCCTTAGAGTCTGAGCAGAGTGGACCAACATGTGAGAATATCTTTGGTTGACAAGAATCCATCCTAAGGGCTGCATGAAGCTTGGGCTGATGATAGAAGTTAAAATAGCAATTATGAGAAATTCCTTGGCATTACTCTAAAAGTAGTGCAGACCACACTGACCTTGCTATCCCTGAATCCACCCCCCCCCCAAGAGTCAATATTGCAGATGTGAAAGAGAAGCAGGGTCTACCTGTCTGGGCAGAGTTTGGATGTACTGAAATTATATATCTGATCTCTGAATATCTTTATACTCCATACTTTTAGAGGGAAGCTTGCTCAGGAAACATATTAATGACATTTTGGACATGCATATAATCTCCTCCTTTGGATCAAGTTTAGGGGGAGTCTGGCCTTCCAGTTTGCAACAGAGACCCTCTTTTCACAGAACTGATTGGCTGGCTCTTGTGTCAATTACAAATCCCCCCCTCAGAGCAGTTTTTCAAGAGGGTTTTTTTTTTAAGTTAAAAAACAATACTTACAAACTAGGCATCCAACAAACATTTGGTGGGATAAATATGCAAGGCACTTGGGAAGATAAAAAGAAACACACACCAGGTGGACAGCTCACTTGAAGCAAAGGCCAAAGAGTCCGAACACATGCTGCATGAGAACTAAAGGCAGGGGATGGCAGAGCACACAGAAAAACCTGCCTACGATCCTGTGTGCAGCTATGTATGTACGCAAGCTCCATTCTTGAAGTAGAGAACAGCGTGAGTAGCTTTTAACACTTTGATTTGCTCTTACACAGAAGCTTCCTGGCTGGATTGGTTGACAGTGGGAGACAGCTCCAACGGCTTGCCTCTTGTGGGTGCTCTCCACCTTAGTCGTGTAATACCTGATGTGACCTCTGCCCACAGCCTCTGTGAAGCTAAGACGATTACAGAACTATTATGTCCAGACTTTGCCTCAAAGTGGCAGGAAAGAGGCCCACGTTATTTCTCTTCTTCAGGCATTGTTAGGAGGAGATTATAAATTTGTATCTACAATTTGTACCTACAATTTGTATCTACGGCCACTCAGGTTTTTATCTCGTTAGATGTCGGAAGCTAAGCAGGGCTGAGCCTGGCAAGTAATTGGAAGGGAGACCTCCAAGGAATACCAGGGCTCGGGAGGCAGAGGCAGGCAATCAAGCCACCTCTCTGAAACGTCCAAACCCCACTAGGGGTCACCAGAAGTCACCATGACTTCCAGGCATGCAAGCACATATGCACACAATCCCACCACACACAAATAGAGAATGGCATTCTGGTGATGATTTTCCCCATCTTAATGGCAAGAGCACAGAAAGACTGTGAAAAGCAGTGTTAGAGCCATATTGTATGCAAGTCATGCATGTAAAGAAGTTCATGCATGTTCTTAAAGATGGCAGTACTGGTCAGAAAAAGGTTGATAAAGGGAACCTGCCAGCACCAGATCATAGGGAGAATGTGTGCAGATTCAATGCAAATCCCAGCAGCACTGAGACCAGAGGTGGCTGGAGCAGAGCCTCATGAGGCTCAATCTGGAGAACGTAAGAAGAGCCTTGGTGGATCAGACCAGTGGTCCATCTAGTGCAGCATCCTGTCTCACACAGTGGCCAATCAGTGACTCTGGAGGGTCACCAACAGTGCATAGAGGCCAAGGCCTTACCCAATATTGTATTCTGGCATTGGTATTCAGACGTCTATTGGCTCTAATTGTGGAGGTTCCCTATAGTTACCATGCCTAGTGGCCACTGAGGGACCTATCCTCCATGAATTTGAACACTATCTATGCTTGTGAACCAATTACAGGGCAAGGTCTGAGGTGACGAGTCCATCCAAAGGAGAGGCAAAGCAGGAAAAAGAGGATGCAGGCAGTCTGAAGCGTTTTCAAGTAGGCAGGAAAGCTGGCAGACAAGAAAAGGGACAGGAAGTCAAGGAGTCAGAAGAAGAAGAAGCCTGTCAGGGAATACTTGAGGAGAACCCCATAAACAAGCCCAGAGTCTAGCTTCTCAAGCCTGATGTGAGAACATTACCTGCTAAATAAGGTTAGGCAGGGGTCGTTTCATAGAAAAAGAGCTAGGGGGACTCATTAGCATAACTCATTAGCATATGCCACACCCCCTGACATCACCGGAAGTGTGTCATAAGGCCACGCCCCCTGACATCACCGGAAGTGTGTCATAAGGCCACACACCCTGCCCCCAACAGTCCCGGCCGCCACCGCCGGCCTTGCAGCTCCACTACCGAGCCCCATGAGGGGCCCGGTGGTGGACCTGCAAGGCCGGCGGGAGTGCAAGGAAGCCCCGCCAAGGCCCTCCCTGGCCCCAGGCAGGCAGGGGTGGGGAGAGGCAGGGAGGAAGCAACTTACCCTCCCTCTTCTCCTGCCTCCTCCTGGCTGAATGAGGGCCAGAAGCGGGGCGGCTGGAAGCAGGGGGCGGGGCTTCGTCATGTGCCCCGCCCCCCGTACCTCACCCGGGGGAACTGCGATCCCCCGCGATCCCCCCCGAAATGACCTCTGAGGTTAGGAGGAATCCATGGGCTGTCTAGGGTGGTGATAGAGCCATGCTGAGGCCTGGGAGGGCCCTTCCTTAATCCTGTGGAATCTGTGCTCTTGGTCTGAGTCCTGGCTGACTGAAAGAAGAACTCTCTTAGCCTTTCCTTGGTAATTCAACCAGCTATGCCTAAATGCTTCTTGGTGTGGTATTTTAATAATCTCATCTCTTTTCCCCTCTCTTTATTTATTGTCTTTCCCATGAGCATAGCAGGATATCCCAGCCCGAATAAATGCTACATCTGCCCCGGTGCCAGCCCAAGAAACAATCCACACCAAGATGGAGGAACTGGAGGATCAGATCCTCTCCAAGATTTTGGCTCTGGAGAAAGAACGTTCATCCATCACCAGTACCAGTGACCACCAGCAGCAAGAGGTAGACAAGGAGCTGGATGCCCTCCAAAACCGGGTTGCAGACCTTGAACACGGTCAGTTCTGGCAAAGGGGGGAATGGAATCTGAGGGCCCAAATGTCAGTGTAGTTCTCCTTTTCATATATTTCTATTCCTTGGGGCACTTCTAGGTGGAAGAACATCCGCCATATTGAATTGGCCCATATGACAACATCAACCTACAGAGGAATAGTCTGAATCCTCATGTTGATTGCTGTTCTCTTAGAGTCAAACTAGACATTTGCTTCTTCTTTTTTAAAGAGTTGGGTCCGGGTTCCCCAAAGCCACAGAGCAGCTGCAGGGAATGGCTATTTAAAAAATAAAGCAGATCCTGTTTGGGCTCGAAACACTGCCTCAGAAACTGTGAAATAGTGATAAACAAAAAAGGGCCCTCCAGCATATGCAAGGTACCTTTCCTTGAATATAATTTATTTTGGAGGGGGACAGGGTACTTTGCCTCAATAAAACCATTTAAACACAGCCATTAAAAACAAGCCAAACAAAACCAACATAAAGCAAAAACACTGAAGAATCACCTCTGGGATGAGAGACATCTATTGTCACAAGGCCCTGTTTCTGAGAAGGCTCAACATCTGCAGTGGCTTTTATTTTTGAAAGTGTGAATCCGAGGCACACTGCACGAGGCCTCAACCACACACCATAATCAACACTCACAACAGCAGATGCTTCTATCTGAGCAGTGATGCTACTGAGTAACGCAAAGTCCAATTCTTTTGCTGAAGCTAGGTCTTCTGTACATGTAATCTGTGCATGTTCTCATGGAAGATGTAACCCCCCAGTGCTCTCTTTCATCAGATAAATAAACTGCGGGTGGCTTTAGGTT